ATTCAAATACTTTTTCTGCAAAGAGCAACTCATACTATAAACAAATACAGTTATTACTGTATGTTTATTATGCACTCACTATTAATCATTTTCGCTCATTTTGTTTTTCGCTCCGAACAAAAAATATCAAGCGACTATGTACATACGAATGATTTCTTCTATTTAGAATTGTGTGTCAATCCGGTGATGCTGGTACAATACCACGCACTGGTTTTGTTCTTTTAAAATTCGGTTTAAACGGTCCACAAATTTCTTCTCGTCAAATAATATCATATATAAATCCAACAATTAATATGATTGAACCACTTATTGGTATCGAAAGTGGTGGTACACTTCTAACAATTCAAGGTGAAAATTTAACATTAGGTAATAGTCATATATCAATATCAATTGGTAATCGTCCATGTCAATTATTATCATTATCTCGTATAAAAATTCAATGTGAAACAACTTTATTTTCTCCTTTAATGTTAAATCAACAACAACCAATAAAACTTGTTTTTGATCGACAAACAAAAATCAGTGCAGAGAAATTTTTTACGATTGTTCCTAATCCAATTTTATATTCATTTGATAAATATCACCAGTTTCAAAGTTTCATGAGTGGTGGTCATCAATTAATAATTGATGGTGATAATTTTGATACCATACAAAATATACGTTTAGAATTTAAACGTATTATATTTGTTTCATCATTATTTCATAATCGAACACATTTAGTTTTTTTAACACCGTCAATACAAGAATTACATTTAAATAATGAACATGATTATCAACATGAAATTGAAATTATTATTCATTTAGATCATTTTAATAAAACATCATCATTAATTTATATGAATGATCCACTTATTTATGAACTTGAACCAATGTTACAAACATATACAAATGAATTAATTATTCGAGGTGTAAATTTAACAGCTATTGGGCATACAAAAAATGATATTAGTATTCATATTGGATGTGATTTATGTCCTATTATTCATTTACAATCCGATAAAATTATATGTCAACCACCATTTTATCGTCCGAAAAAATATTCAAAAACAAATCGTCTTTGTTATGATTCTGAACATCCATGGATTATTGTTACTATTGATAATATACATTCACATGTTGGATATATGATGTATCCAAAAAAGATTATTATTCTTGGTAAGAACTAACTTATACAGCCGGATATTAGATTTTCTTAAATAAGACTAATTTATGAATGTAAACTATGATGCGAAAGTCTTAGTACACATTGTTCGACTAATAAGAGACAACTAGTTAGAGTCAGAATCAAAGTTTTTCACTGCTTTCGACGATTTGCTTACATTCTCCTTCTGGAGTAAGATTAAACAACTATTAATAAATTGTCTGAAAAAAGTGTGAAACTGTGTCTTTACATAGGAAAATTGCGATTTTGGTACAGTCCTTAGTTTATGTCTTGGAACAGCTTCAACTCAGTACTATAGTAGAGCATTGAATTTTATACAAAATGAGATACTATGGTAAGCGAAATCTCATCCT